CATTGGATTTAGCAAATCTTGATTGATTATATTAGTATCATTTAATGTTTGGTATGGGGTATATAACAACCGGAGGGCAGTCCCATTCCACCTCTTATCTCTTCAATTTTCAGTTATAAGGGTTCAATTTTATTGTGTGAGAGACAAAGATATATACATATATATATATATATATATTCATTCAATAATGACACATGTAGCAGCTGTTTCGTCTATCACTCGGTGTAATCTTTTGCATTCTTATGATATTTAAATTAATAAATAGGTTAAAAGAATAAAAAAATTTTAAATTTAAATAAATATTAGTCTCGTTTTATTACAAATATATTTATGAAACCAATCATCCGTAGGACATGCATACAGAAAATTCTTTTTTGGATTTTAATTTAATTTATATGATTTGAATCTTACAAGTAGTGTCAATTAAGTAGCATTATTTATTTAAAGAAGATGTTGTTCACGTGATTTAACTTAAAACCTTGATCCTGCAATTGGGGGCTATCAGCTATTGAGGCTATGTGCGCCTGTGCGGATGACTAAGATACATGGCTTTGGATGTATAAGTAGTTTACTGTTGGTAGGCCAGGTGTGGCTTTTGCCATTAATCAACTGGATTAATTCCTTTATCTAAATTTAAAAAATATAATAATATATGACTGCTTAGATGTGCACGTCGATTTATGGGTTGCCGCGTAGTTAATAAACTTGGTTCGTTCATTGCCCAATGCAAGAAACAACGTCCGGCTTTAAAGTCACAACAAATTGAAAAGAAAAAAAAAAAATGCTACCGGTTGAAACTAGTTTTACCATCCGCGTTTTCCCATAATCATGTATGTAATTATAGAAGATAAAAATACTCGAAACCGACGAGTTTTGATCTGATCCAACCGACGAGTTTTAAAATCGGATTTGGGTCGAGGTCAGATTTTAGGCAAATCCGACCTTACCCGACCGATATATTTATCTAATTATCTGAGATTATCAAACTAAAATCAAAATATTTTATTTATAAAGGTGAAACTCTTTATACCTTTATTAAACTCTCGATGTGTAATACAAAATAAACTCAAACTCTTATAACTTCACTTAACTTTTAATGTGAGATGCAAATCACAACAAATCTTCCATTGACTTGAATTTTCAAACACTTCAATAATATATACAAAGTTGACACGCTTGCCTTTCTTGTTTTCTTTCATCACAAGAATCCCAGTAACTGAACATCTATCAAGCATGTATAAGTGTTTTTTGATCATATTTTCTTGTAGAATCACATTACCATTCTTGTACACTTTCAATAAATCATTACTATTATAGTATATTTACCTTGAGAAGCTAGCTCACCGAAAGTAATTAAATTATAGTTACAACTCAGCACATACCTTATATGACGAAGTGTCCTAACACCACCATTGTGAGATTTAAAGCCAACACTCCCAATGTTTTGAATCTATACTTTTTCATTGTTGGCAACCACAATATTTTCATATTTCATATTTTCTTTCAACTCCACAAAACTACTCTTATCATTACAGACATAGACTATAGCAGCTGAATTTAAAATCTAACCTTTATCACCTTTTCAAAGTTTGAGTCTCATTTATACAAGTCATTAACATGACATTATCATCATCAGATACAATTGTAGAAGTATCACTATTTCCTCATCCAATTTTTTCTCATTATTTGCCTTTTTAAAAACGGTCATATCTCTTATCAACTTCTTGTAGCTCATTTGAATATGTCATTTTTTAACATAATAATAATATTCTATGTTACTGTAATCTCTGTCTCTTGACTTAAATTTTTTTTTTTATCCATCAATCCTCTTTTGAGACCTCATTTGATAAAAACTCTCTACAGCTAGTGTACTTCCCTCAAGTGATGAGTTCTGTATTCCCATAAACATTTCATTATCACACAACAAGACAATCACATTATTCAACTTCAAAATAAAACCACCCACCAATAAAGTCTGAACTAAAGGCAAGACTTGGGCAAAGATGACAATAAAATTAAAGCATTCTCTTCATCTTCTAACTTATCAACAAAAATCATCAGCAATTGAGAAATCAATCTATTAAATATATTCAAGTGATTATGAAGATTTATACATTTTTTTTATCTTCAGAGAATACAGATTCATCTTCAAACATAATTTGTTAATCAATGACTTAGATGTGTAAACACTCTCAGGCATATCTCACAAACTTTTCGAAATACTCTCAGTTAACACACTATACTTTATCTCTAGGGCTAACGATATTCTAATAGTACTAACAGCTTTCTTCTTAATTCTATTCCAATTACTGTCAAACATTCCTTCAGGCTTACTTCTCTTTAATGTCTGATCTAACCCTTGTTGTATTAATAGATCTTGAATTGTATTTTACCGTAATATAAAATTGCTTTTTTATCAAATAACGAAATTTTAAATTTGAGCATAAACATACTATTTATACCTAACTTGGGCATAGATATGCTGGACATACTCTTCAGACATCTTTAACCACTTGCTTCACGATCTCTTAGGCCTGCCTCTTCTTACCACAAACCTCGCTCTAATACCATTTATTAAGAAATCAACACGCACATACAACACCCATGCATAAAATAGCAATCTCAAATAAAGAATAAAAATACACAAATATATTTGTTTCGATCTAACTCAAAATGACATACTCCAAACTCAATCCACTAACAAATAAATCTTTACAGCTGTGAGACTTTTAGAATGAAAAAAGTTACCAAAAACTCCTTACTCAAAACTTAACCCAAAACTCAATTACACCTTTTAATAAACTACTCATTTAGCTATTCTTTTGGTGTCTAATTACATGGAATTACTAAATTAAAATCAAAATATCTTATTTATAAGAGTGAAACATTTTATACTTTTACTAAATACAAGACAAACTCAAACTCTTATAATTTCACTTAACTTTTAATGTAGGATTATAAGATTCAAGACAAATTTCAACATAAAAAGTAAGCCAATTATTAAGTTGATTCAGTCGGTGGTAAATTTTTTATTCACTTCAACATAAAATTTGAATTAAAATCTTTCTTATAGTTTTTTGTTGCCGGTAATGAATGCATGATTTTTTGTAAGATGTTACATATTTTACCTGATTACGTAATTTTTTTGACAAAAAAATATATATTTAATAATAGCATGGCCTAATTCAATTATTCAGATAACAGTTTGTCAAGACTCATATTTTCATATGCTTGATTAGAAATCTGGATAGTATATATAGATAGACAAATAGCTAAACTTTTAAACTATTGAATATACAAGTAACCAGAGAAGATGGCACCCCACATTTCACATATATAGCTTAGCCTAATTCTATCTTTTCTCAAGTCCTAAACTAATTAGAAAAATGGGCCACGAAGCTTGGTCATTTCTTTTCAGAAGAGTATATGGATCTACAATTCTCCACGAAAGTCCTTAAGAACATTTGGCCTTTTGCCACATATAGCTAGGCTACGCTTACTGTGTTAAAAGGCAGGTTCTTCACTATCAATATAGGCTAAGGAGCCTCCAAAATCCTGATGTATGAATTTGTTTTGCCATATATTAACGAAATGTTTGGCCATCCTATGCATGCATGTCTTTTCTTGAAACCAAAAGGGTACGGTAAATGGTAAATATAATATTAATCTGACTTATTATTATTATTATTTTGGTTTTTTATTATTGTTCTTATATCACGTTTTCCTTTCTGTTACTTTGGATGTTGTGTTTATTTTTTTATATTGTTTTTTAAAAACACTTTTTTTGGGTAAGCTATGGAATTGAACTAATCAAAAGAACACAATTAGAGAACTGAATGTTTGGGCTTCATTCGAGCATGATTGTGCCTCGGTCCGTAAAGCCTTTTTTGGGCTTATGAAAAAGATCCATACTCATCCATTTTCTAGGGCATGCCATCATCCGTGGACATAAAGTTTAAATTTATTGTTTAAATATAACAAACGCATTGGATATTTCTTCTTCTTCTTTTTTTTTTTTTCCAGTAACCAGGAAAATAAAGATTTCCATTTTTGATAGGAAGGAAAATAGAGGTTCTAGTACAGGTATGGTACTTTGGTCTGGTAGTCTACTACATTTCTTGGTTACCCTGGCAACTGGGAAGAAAGAAAAATATTCCAAGTACAAAGCAAGAACAGCATTTCATATCTGAAGAACAACGATTAAGAATAAATCTTTTCCCTTCCTTGTACTACTAGCCACTTTCCTCCCAAACACTTGTATTTCTGGAGTTCTTAATTAGGATTTAGGCCGTGACCGATTTCCGCTTGGAGACATATTGGAAGGTCTTGACAAGCTTGTCAATGCCATCTCACTTTGCCAGAAAGATGACCAGCTTGTCCACGGTGCCATTCATGGTTGACGTAAGGTTAAGGATTTGGTTGCTGTTGATGATGATGAACTTAGTGGAAAGCTTATTTGATTTCTTGACAGTTTCTGGGTGTCCATCAGAAGTTAGAGGAGAATACATAAAATTGGTTTTGGGGATAGTTCTGTAAGGGGATTGCTTTTTGTGGTTGGACCCTGTTTACCTTTGTCTTGTGCACAGAGAATCCTTCATCACCAGCAATTGGACAAATTTCTTCTTCTTCACATATTACTACTTATCAACCAATACTTAGTTAATAGTTACAATTAGCAGCATACTTTAAAAATTCAAATCAACTGATGGTAATTGTGAAATCTTTTTACCTTCACCTTGTGGCTATCATTCACAACAAATATTATATACAAAACAATTTTTATGAATTAATATTTTAACTATAATGATCACCTCTCATCATACATGTAACTAATTAAACCACAATAATTCGAAAATGATAAATAGTAAAACTAATAATGAAATATCGAATAGAATATTAGAAAATGTACCAAAAATGGAGCTAACAGTTTTAAGCGATTAACTTATTTTTAATGGGAGATTTTTTTTTTAAGGATATCATTTTAATGAGAGAAATAGAATATTACTTTTTGGCAGCGTCGTTTTGAATGACAGACGACGCCGTTTTGCTTTCTCTCTTTTTCTCTCCCAACGATAAAACCCAAAGCCCGGATAACACTCTACGGTTCACAGCTGCCTTAAAAATCGAATTCCACTGCAGCGGCACCTCTCTTTCCTCAAAAACCCTAAACCTCTTTCCCATTGATTTATTTCAACTAATATTCGATTTGCATTTAGAAAAATATTTAGGATTTCTATTTACGGAAGAATCCCCAAAATTCTTTAATCTCTCTCGCTACTCAAATCTAAGCCATGGATGCACAGCGAGCTCTGCTTGACGAACTCATGGGATCAGGTATTTGGAAATATCGTTTTTATTTCGCTGAGATAGGTTTAATTTCTTTTGTTTAAATATGTTTATTTTTTAATTTTTTTAACATTTTTGAAATTTTGTAGCTCGTAATTTAACGGAGGAAGAGAAAAAGGGATACAGGGAAATACGATGGGATGATAAAGAGGTTTGTGCATTCTATATGGTTCGCTTTTGCCCTCACGACCTCTTCGTCAACACTCGCAGTGATCTCGGTACGTTTTCAATTTTACTTTTCACTTGCTGTTTGGTTGCTGAGAAAATGAAGCAAAAGAATATGTTAGGTTTGAGAAAATTGACAACCTAATAAGCTCTAGTTTTACTGAAGTTGATTTAAGCTTATTATATTTCTTATAGTAGCTGAGATGGTTAAGTTTTTAAGTTTTTTTTTTTTTTGGTTAGAATTATTAATTTTCTTTAGCTGCATTATTTCTCAGCAGTAACTATAACATTAATGCGTTTAGAGTATGCGGAAGTTTAATAACTGTTTTCTGTTTTTTGGTGTTTTTTTTTTTTTTGTGCATCAGGACCATGCCCTAGAGTTCATGATCAAAAGTTGAAAGAAAGGTGTGATTGAATGGGAGTTCTTTTTGGATTTCTCGGACATGAGATTTTCCTTTTCCACAAATGTATCACAATGAGTTATTTACATGCCTGTGCTTAGTCTGTTGGTTTTTAACCTTGCTTAGCCTTCTTGATTAATAGTAAACTTTAATCAAAATGATCTTTTTCACAAGAGTATTATTGATCTTGTATTTACCTTATTAAGTTAGCTGCTTCATATGTCCGTGTAGGATGGAACTTAAATATGCATTACACGCGGTATGCTAAGGTGTTGCTGGTTTTTCTTTTTGAGGTAACTGATCTAAACATTTTGATCAGATCCTTGCAAGGGGTAAGGAGAGATAATTGAACCCTCATCAACATTGGATGTTATCTTGGGAGCTCAGTTTATTGATTCTTGCCCCATGCATGAGGCATCTGGGACATTTTATGTTGGATCCTTTGTAAAACCTATGACTTTTCTCACAAAAAAAATGCTCAAGTCCTCAATTTTATTGTACCTGGGGTAACAGGAAGAAATACTATATATTCTATGTATTTCTTGTAGTGGTAATAGCCATGAAATTTCAAATTGTTTAAGTTTATACAAAAGTAATTGATGGTTTGTCATACCATTGATGCTTAGTCCTTGACACCTTGTTATTGGATTGCCCTCCTGCTAGTATCTCACTTAAAAGGCATTTCCATCATGATCAACACCATCAGGGATAATTGGGGCTTCTTTACTTGCAATAGAATTCCATGTGTGTTTTATAATTTTTATGAATATAAGGATTTTGATGGTATCATTCCTGGATTGTGTGGCTGATGCACTTATAGGAGTTCTCCTTTCCAGTGACACTATATTTTCCGATTTGACCTGTCTCAAAACAATGTACCTTTTGAAACATTTTTTGTGTATAATTTTCCTTCTGTGTTGATTGTGCCTAACTCCTCTGATATGTTAAAAGATGAGATGGTTTTATTGCAAGAATGAAGTCCAATACAGTGCGAACACATTGATTAAAACTGCTGTAAAGTTTTGATGTTTCCAAAGCATTAATCTTTGGGGAGACAGCAAATTACTATGGTAATCTGTGGTAATATCAGCTGGGAAGAAATTATTGAAATCCATGTTTCTATGGTATATTTTAGATACAGTATAGTTTTTAAACTTTTTGCAACTGCCTCTGACATATAAGCTGTAACTTACCATGTGTAGAGAAATAATGTTCCTTGTCACTATTAAATGCACTGGAAGGAATTGTTAAACATAGAGCTTATGGCTATGAGTTCCAAAAGTTTTAGATCAAATAATATGCATGGTAAATCGTTTTAATCTATTGGTTTGAAGCTATTATATTAAATTGATGAGATGTTCCTTCCTTTCATGGGTTTTGCAATTGCTGTTTTATTAATTGTTATCAGGTGCTAGGTTTAATAGTAGTTTGCTAAAACTATAGACATTTGAAAAATGAGCAAAGTGGGTAAAATATAAACAGAGGTATTCAGATACTGTCTTTCTGTTTTGTCTTCCATGGGTTTTGAGGTTGGTTTTTTTACTTCTATTTTCAGAATGTGTAAACACCTGTGACTCAAGAAAGTTCCATGGTTTAAGTTATATACGTGCTGTTGCTTTGGCATCTGGTACTTCTGCATTTGTTTGTCCCATTTGCTAACTTGCTGCTTGTTATTGTCCCCTGTAAATTGCATATCATATCTTGCTTGCTTTGTTTACAAAAAATAGCTTGTCTATGATCTATTTTGGAACCTATGATTTTGGAGGTTGAGTTGTCAGAACCAGTTATGCCTTTTATATTTTTCATGATTGATTCATATTTTAAGTTGGTGTTTGAAATTTGTGACTTTAGTTTTGAGAACTCCTCAAGACATGATGCTTTTGTGCCCAAGTTTGAAGCTGAATTGGCTCAGTTTTGTGAGAAATTGGTGAGTTCCATTGCCCTCATTTTCAACCTGGTATCCCTTTTAATTTCTTGTCACAACAATTGTAATTTTCATGTATTCTGCAACATTCATATTCTGCACTAGGTGATGGACCTTGACAGAAGAGTTAGGCGTGGACGAGAACGCCTTACTCAAGAGGTGGAACCAGCACCACCTGCTCCACTATCTGCAGAAAAGTCTGAACAGCTATCTGTATTGGAGGAAAAAATAAAAAACCTGCTGGAACAAGTGGAAAACCTTGGTGAAGCTGGAAAGGTGGATGAAGCTGAGGCGCTTATGAGAAAGGTGCTGCTAAGAATTTCCATTATCTGTTCGTAATTGATCCTAAAAGTTTTACGAGATATTGGTCACTCAATGTGCCGCATCCTGGACAGCGTTTGACCACCTTGGGAATTATGTTTTTGTTTAATTGCCTCTTAAATTATGATTATTTAATTCATTTCATTCCTGATTTTTAAATTTGTCATGATGGGCAGTTCAGATTTTGAAGTTTGATCTATGATATTTGTTTGTAGGTTGAAGCACTTAATGCTGAGAAGACAGCCTTGATTCAACAACCTCAAAATGATAAAGTATTGATGCTTGCACAAGAGAAAAAAATGGCTCTATGTGAAGTTTGTGGATCTTTTCTAGTAGCTAATGATGCTGCTGAGAGGACTCAATCCCATGTTACAGGAAAGCAACATATTGGTTATGGCATGGTTCGTGATTTCATCTCTGAGTTCAAGGTAAGTGTTTCATTGTGGAATGAATTTTGGGCTTCAGTTCGTTTAACCTTTTTGCTGTGAATGAAGAACCTGAATGAACTTTTCAGGCAGCTAAGGAGAAAGCAAGGGAAGAGGAAAAATTAGCAAGAGAGAAAGAAGTTGAAGAACGGAGAAAGCGGAGGGAGAAGGAATATGAGAGTAGGAGGAGGAGAAGTGATTCTGGTGATAGGGACAAGTATCGTGATCGAGACAAGGACCGATATCGGGAACGTGATTTGGATCATGAAAGGTCTCGAGAGTGGAATGGGAGAGGTAGTAGGGATGGAGAGAGGGATTCAAGGTACAAGAATGGAAGAGATGGAGGCAGGGATAGGCACCATAATCGCAGCAGGTCACGTTCCCCTGGTAGGCATAGTCACAGGAGGTCCTCAAGAAGTCCAGTTCGCCGATACTAGTTCATTCTGCATGTAGATGTTTTGGCTTTGAAAGCCTACGAGGTAGACCTCTTTTTTTTTTTTTTTTCTAGTTTATAAAAGTGTGCTTTTGGAGTAGTGCTAAATTTTTCATCATGGATGGAACTTTTTTCTTGGTATCTCACAGCTTTGTTGAGACTATACCAACTCCCTTTCATCAAAATTACTAGAGAAGAAAAGGGTTGAGGTAGGTATAACAATATTATTGTAACTCCCTTTTATCTGTTTGGCTACATTTATCTTATGCATCTGTGGACATTGTTGAGTCTCTTATCCCTCTTACTTTATATTCTCGTCTATAGTAAAGCTGCTGAGAAAGATGATCTCTTTCCAATTTCGAGGTAACAAATTATATTTCATTTATACCACTGCTATGCCATAGTTGACTAACCTTATTACATATACATGAATATATTTTTATTCTTTTCTTGCATTTAGGGATGCTTATTTGGCTTTTTATGTAAATTAGTATTTGTTTGCAAAGGCTTACTCTTGTGGATTAGTGTAGGGAAAATCTGAGAAAAATTGAGGTAACCATATGTAGGTTTGAAGTGTTCTTATGCTCCTATAAATCAATGAAAGATATACTTATATGGAGTGTTCTTTCCTTTTTGTTTAGTTATTTTGTAAATGGTTAGATTAAGTTATGTGGTTTCTTGCTTTTGTTCTTTGTGATGGATTTGTATGATTGCAAATTTACAATTCTTTTCGGGTGACATTGCCCTCTGCTTTGAGTTTGAAATGCCCTCATAACAACTATTCCATGCTTCATGATTTTGATTTTAAAGCTTGGGAATTGCGTACATTGCTGTAATCCTCCCATTTTTTCTCCCTCAAGCAGTGCAAATGGGTTAGTTAGAGAACTTGAGATTGCTATGACTTGGGTTTTTGAAAGTAAATTTTTAATGAGGCGAGTATCTTCACAAGAGTTGATTGAGATTATATTGCATTTACCTTGGGGAAACATTCAACTACTACACACCATTGTCTGGGACACAGGAGAAAATCAGAAAACAGGTGAAACTTAGAAAGGTGAGTACACTATGATATTTCATTGATAAAATAAATAATAAAGGATAAATTTTGCCAATAACTACTCAGTTATGGTATGTTGATGGAATTGTATCTAACTACATAATCAACAATAATTCTGAGCAAAATATACTGATCCAAATTCACACGCCGCATTTCACACACAAGGTTTGCTGTTGGAAGATCAAGTAGTTGGTTCCCGGAATCCGATTTTAATAGGTCTTTTTAACTCATCCCTGGGGGTACCAATAACCGGAAGAATTGGCATTGAAAGAGCAGAAAGCACATTACTCAAGTATTCGATGTCAACCGAGAGCTGTAGTGCTCGCGATCTGTTATGTACTGGATGCCACGGTGCTGCTCCCCACGTGAAGGGCAGTGGCACCTTCAGCAACCTTTCCAAACACTGGCGGAAATATATGTGTTATGTTAGTTATACAGTAGACATAAAACAATTTCTTCCTCAATATAATATTTAAACATCTTTCATCCTTTCTTTCTTCTCCTCCCCCACCCACAACCGCACCCCCTTTCTAAAAGAAATTTCCTTTTGCAATATTAAAAAAAAATAAAATAAGAAAGCATGGAAAAACAGCTTTGTTAATTGAAACACTAAAGCATTGAAATGTTGACAATACCACTTCCATTCTTTTTCAAGATAGAGTAGCAACTCATCATAGAAGCCTGGCAACCAACTAGAGAACAAAACTGTGGGAGAACTTGACTGCAATTCATTACTGCTTGATGGCCTTTCAATTTCATTCTTCTCATTAGCAATCTTACTTGGTCGGTGCTTGGAGTCAAAATCATCCCACAGTTGCTTTATAGGCTTTAGGTGAACTTTTGTATAGTGCTCCTCCAAAGACTCGAATCTAATCTTCCAATTCAATAAGAATTTATCGCATTGTTTTGTCAGGGATTAAGTGTTAGATGATTTGTTAGTAGATTTTTTTTATCTATAAACGTAAATTTGTTGAATTAAATTATGTTAAATTATTATTTTTTATGTAATTAATTATTTGATTATATTTTTTCTGATTTGATTATTTAATTTGATTGAGACTTATATGTGTAACAATTGAAATCAGAGTTATTTTGATATTAACAAAAATTATATGATTTGATAAAAAATATAGTTTTTAAAGTTAAATTCAAATTCCTTTCTTAAAATTTATATTATGTAAAAAAAATTATTGAATTGATCCATTTATTTTTAAAAAATTATTAAATATAAAAATTTTATAATTATAATCAAATATTATGTTTTATATTAACCAAATAATTAAATGGAGTGGCTGACAAGGCTGCAAAGAATGCTAGGTTTTGTACTTGCTATGAGTGGGTTTCTTCTTACTTGACCGCCCAATGATCTTTTGGGCCTACTCTCTTTGTAATCTAAGAATAATAATAATAATAATAATAATATATATAATATTACAAGATACAAAGTTACCGAATAAATGTAATAGGTGTTTATGTGAATAATTTTTTTTATGACAAGTAGGATAATATTTATATTATATTATTTATTAAGTAACTCTATTTAATAAATTATGTAAATTTAATATGTTCAGATAATTATTTAAATTCAAATCAAAATTTATAAAATATTCAAAATTTTACATAAATTTTAAATTCAAATATATTAAACTATAAATTATCCTTTTTTAATTTAATCATAATTCCAAATATATAGGCTTAATAAACTTTTATTTACTTTCAAATAATTTTATTTAATAAATTATATAAATTAAATATTTCTGGGTAACTATTTAAATTAATATAAAACTTTATCAAAAATTAAAAATTTTACATATATTTTGAATTTAAATATATTAAATCATAATTTATCTTTTCTTTTCAAATTTAATCATAGCTTTACATATATATATATATATTATATGTGTATGTATAAGCTTAATAAATTTTTATTTGTTGAAATTAATATCTTAAAATAAACATAAAGAGCTCATAAAATTATAGCGGCACCCCTAACCAATTTTATTTTATTTGTTATTATGAGAATCAGAAATTGAAGAATACAATTTTTTTTATTTGACGATTATAGTTTATGAGTTTTGATAAAAATGGGTAAAAATTAGAAAGAATAATAACCACATCATACTCATGAACAAATAAATTTATTTTATGCCTTTATTTTTCTTTTATTATTATTTTTTTAGTTTTAAAAATAAGTTTGTGATGGTGTTAGTTGTTTTTTCTTTGTTTTTATAATTTTTTTTTTAGATTTCAATAATGAAAAAAAAAAAGAGCACACATTTAGATTGGTTTCAACTAGGTAATATGTATAATTCATTATTTTTTTCCTATTCTATTTCTTTTTTTTTTCCCTCTATTTGTTTGTTTCTTTCAACCTTTTATTTGGTTTTATTTATATTATATGATATATATATTTAGATTTGATTTATTCTAAAAAAAGTTTGTTCATATGTGTGTGTATATATATATATATAGTTAAACTGAATATTTACTATACATAAGTATAAGAGATTTAAATTATATATACGTTCTTAATTTGTATATTTAATCAAATCAAAATTTATAAAATATTAAAAAATTTACATAAATTTTAAATTTAAATATATTAAATTATAAATTACCTTTCTTTTTTAATTTAATCATAAAGCCAAATATATAGGCTTAATAAATTTTTATATGTCATCAAATAATTTTATTTAATAAATTATATAAATTTAATATTTATGGGTAACTATTTGAATTCAAATCAAACTCTATAAAAAATTATAGATTTTACATAAAATTTGGATTTAAATATATTAAATCATAATTTATCTTTTTCATTTTAAATTTAATCATAACTCTACATATATATATATATATATCTATATGTGTGTGAGTGTGAGCTTAATAAATTTTTATTTGTTAAAATCAAAATATCAAAATAAAAATAAAGAACTCGTAAAGTGAGTGCATTAATCAATGTTATTTTATTTGTTATTATTAGAATTATAAATTGAAGAATACAATCTTTTTTTTTTTTTAATTTGACGATTATAATTTATGAGTTTTGATAGAAATGGACAAAAGCTATAAAGAATAATAACTACATGATACTCATAAATAAGTAAATTTATTTTATGCTTTTATTATATTTATTTTTTAGTTTTAAAAATTAGTTTATGATGGTGTTGGATTGTTTTTTTTTTATTTTATTTTATAATATTGATTTTTGTTTTTTTGTTTTTGTTTTTAGATTTCAATAATGAAAAGAAAATGTGAGCATATTTGGTTAGGTTTCAACTAGGTAATAGGTAGAGTTCATTATTATTTTTTATATTATATTTCTTTTTTATTATTTTCCTCTATTTGTTTGTTTCTTCAAACTTATTATTTGGTTTTATTTGTATTATATGATATATGCATCTAGATTTGATTTATTCTAAAATAAATTGGTTCATATGTTTATATATATATTTAGTTAAATTGGTTATTTGCTATCAATAAGTACAAGAGATCTAAATTATTTATAATTATCAATTTATATATTTGGTTTATGTTCTAATAAAAAAAACAACTATGTATATGTTAAAGTATACATATAAAAAATAAGAATTAATAAGAAGTAAATTGTTACGAGCAAATTAATAGTTATGTTTTGTAGTTAAATCATATATTATTATTATTATTTGATGTTTTATTTTTGGTTTAGCTTTATAAGATTTAATAATTTAAGAATATCTTGTTCCATATATATTTAAAACTTCCATGTTACTTGTTAGCCTTAAAAATACAGGTTTTCCTTCTATCTCTTTTTCTTATTTTCATTTCTGCCTTTTCCATTTGTCTGGGCTCTTCTTTTTCTCCGACGTGATGCCTATTTCTGAGAGGATGGTACTAACTACAAATTACTGCCAACAGAATGTTAATTTAATTGAAATATATTATATATATATATGTATATTAGTTGATAAATCCAACTTTTGTCTTCATTGCTATATATAGTTAAGGTAATTGTAGAGAATCATCAACCGCTAGTCTCCTTCTCTAGAGTTTTTCTCATTGCCACCTAAGCAACCTGTTCGCCGCCAGATTATGTCCTAGAATTCCTCTCATAAATCCACATCCTCTAGCCATCCTACATTTTTAGCTTTCATAATAAAAATATTTTCTGAGCTGCCACGTGACAGTTTAACTGAAAACTCATGAAAATTGCAAAAACGTTTGCTAGTGCTACTCTTGGTTTTGGAAATGTTCATCTGAAGTTGCCATTTTTAACAAAATAAAAATACTGGTAGAGTTGAGACTTAAACTCTAGTCATGTATAGAAGTAGAGGCATACATGATTTTAGAGTTTGGTAGCTGGTTTTGAGTATGAAAATAATGCTGCCAGCCTGCCACTTAGAAGTTGGAATGTAAATTATGTGTTGCTGTGTGAATTTCATTGTATGAAACAGAGGATTTTGTTTCAGTTACAAGATTGAGCATTGCTGTATCCTACAGTAGCTTTGTTTGCTTTCTTGGGGATTTCAAATAGGTTCAAACAATGGGAGGTTGCCTCCGGCCTTAGCAGAAAAAGCCTTTAGAACTGGGGGGTCCCTCATTGGTTTCAATGCCCTGAGAAGAAACCCTGGCTCCACTCCAACTTTCAGCTGTTCTTGCTGGAGCAGGAGAGATGGTCTATATCTTTATTGACCACTTTCTTTGGCTATCAAGAATTGAGACTTTGGATGCCAAGTTGGCAAGGAGGATGAGCTTCATATATTCATTTGGTGAGTCTTTCGGCTATATTTTTTTCATTGTTTATTGTGATAGAAGGGCTAGAGGCAGACAGGAAGCTTGTTGTTTTAACAGATGAAGATTCAAAAGGATGCAGAAGAGAAGATAAGAAGGATCAGAGCTGATAGCGTGAGAAGGTTGATTGACAGTGGCAGCAACATTACATTGCTGATTTGATTATTGCACTTGCAGACATCAAGCCCAACCTATTCTGTGGCCATGCTCTGACTCTTGGTATCAGTGGATTGATCTCTGCATGGGCCGGTTGGCACTTGGTACAGAAATTGGCCTTTATAGAGAAAATTAGGGAAAAATGAACAGTCTTACTATTAGATGGAAACTCTTTCTAAATCGTGCTGTAACTAGCCCGAAAATAGTGAGGATTTCACGCTGAGATATCGATTTTGCATTGAAGGAGGGGTGTTTTTACATTTTTGCTGTTAAAATCAGTTTATTTTAAAAAAAGGTTATTTAGTGAAATATTTCTTTCATACTTCAAATTAATAAAATTAATAACTATATGAATAATTCAATGGACATAGCTGCATTTGAATTCAGTAACACTATATTCGGATTGAAAGGAGGGAAAAGAAAAAAAAAGAAAATAAAAGAAAGTAATGGAAATTAAAAAAATATTTTTTGTTTGGATAAATTTTTAATTTAAAAAAATAAAAGAGGTGAAAATTCAATAACTTTTGATTTTTCTTATAATTTTTATTTTTTTAATATTTTAATTTGGAGAAAAAGTTAAGAAAAGAAAAGTTAAAAAAATTTTATTTTTATAAATAAATTATTATATCTAAGAGTGCTCTAAAATTACAAATAATAAAAATTTATAATTAAAAAAATTATTATAATGAATTTTTTTTCACTCTTTATCTAAATAATGATTGTTAAATTTTTTTTATTAATTTTAATTATTCAAATAAAAAATACAGATATCATTTTTTTTTTAAAAAACTTTTTTTTTTATTAATATTTATCTAGATAAAGCTAGAGCTCATGTTTTGTTATTTTTTATTTGCTCTGCCCAGGTAGCATCCACAAAGGAATAAACATGGGGTGACAATCTCTTTATCAAACATTTATTCCGCCTCCAAAGTCCAAACTCATAAGTTTCCTTTAGTAAAACAAATAAGTCAATCAACGAAAAAAACTTGGATTTGAAACTTATATATATCTATATATATATATATATATAATGAAAATGCAACTATAACGTGGTAATTGCTTATACATCAAACCCACTTGTCGAAATCATGACTAAATATGGAAATACATGACCCTTAAGGCCTTAAGGAAAAATTGCTAATTACTTTGGAAATCAAAGGTTTTTTTTTTTTTTTTCTATTGTTCACTATGTGAGCATTTTTCTTTCTTAGAAAAAACTTTGGAATTTGGATTCTTAATCATATGATTATTTCTTTTTTTTTTACGCTTATCTTCTTTGTTATTAAATCAATATAGTTTAGTACCAATATATATATATAGTTGAGAAAAAAAAAAAAAAAAAACTAACGCAACGACCCTGGGACCCCATTCGTCCGGCCAAAAAAAAAAAAGGGGAGAAAGATCCCATTAGAATATAAAGGAAAAAAAAATGGTTGCTACATTAAATTTGCACATTTCTGCCGTTTTGTCAGTCAAATACATCGGGTTGAACTAAAGGTCCAAGCCCATTTCACAACAAAATCCAGGCGAGGGTCAAGTTAGGTTGGTCATTGGTGGTGCGGGTTGTAGACAGGATTCTAGTGACCGGAGCTGAGAGGTGGAGAGACCAGACTAGTTGACCCTGTAAGCTTAATTCTTGTAGCCCCATGTTCGGAGATTTTCTTTAACTTTTGTCTTTTGTCTTCCTTAGAAACTTCTCCGAAGATCTCGTTTATTTCGGAGGTTTTAAGATTTTGAAATACTCTTCCATGTAGACCTCCTCTTTCTTTTCAATTCCTTAGCATTTCTTCTTCTTTTTTCTTTTTATTTTCCTCAATTTTCTCAGCAGTAAAACAAAAGGTTGATGTTTTTGATTTGATGCTTTTGGTATTTGGATCAGATGGCGGACGCGCAATCGAGATACGTTAAGCTTACCAAAGATCAGGCGCCTTTGGAGGATATCAGACCCGGTGAACTTAATCAGCCCATTGATGTTCCTCAGGTCTCTCTCTCTCTAAAAAAATTTGTTTTTCAATATCCTTTTTTCTGAGATTTGAGTGTTTAATTTATAGAAAAATCTGTTATGTTCTTCCTGATTCGGTTGTTTTAGAGAAATTTATTGCTTGGAATTTGAAATTGTTCTCTCATGTCACATTTTTAACTATTTCTTCGAATTCTTAAGATTACAATAGTTCCATACAGCGCTTGAAATAATACTAGCTATTTCTTTTAGGTTGTTAGTTTTAGGCTTGAATCCAGTCTGAAAATTGGGTTAAGCTTTGCTTCAAGTCCAGCAAATTTGCGAACTTATCAGCTGTTGAAAGTATTTTTTTTGGGGCGGTTGGGAGGGGGACATTCAGATCTGTCAGCAGATCTATTTTAAAAAGCTTGTCAAATGCTGTAGTGGTTTTTCTTTCTGTGTCCAGGAAACATCATTTAGCGTGTAGACCTTTTGCATTAATATCTTGTTCATCAAGAAAATTATGAACTTGGAAGGGTTTAAGTAAAAAATAATAAAGATAAGATGGTCTCCTTCTGAACTTTGAAGCTTGTTGGTTATTTTCCAACTGGGAAAAAAATTCAGATGTCTGCCCGTGCTGGGATGTAGTTTGAATATTTGGTCTAAAGGTCATTTATTTATAATAATAAAAGTATGATATAGCATAACATTTTGTGAAAAAAAAAAAATCTTTTTACTTGTTGGAAGATGTATATTGGAGTCTTCACTGATCAGTTGGATTGTTTCTTAGTTGCATGTTCGAAAGTGCAATGAATGTGGACAGCCTTTACCTGAAAACTTTGAGCCTCCTGCTGTTGAACCTTGGACAACTGGAATTTTTGGCTGTGCTGAAGATACAGAAAGTTGTAAGTTGAATGTCATAGTGTTTACTTTGACAATCTATGCCTTTGCCCTTGTTCTTTTTTATGAACTGTAACTAATTGTGTGGGAATGCTTGCATGCTTGAACCATTAAACAATTTTTCTATGTATCCTATCAGCAAAGTGACAACTCATTCTCCAAATCTAATTGCTCAATGATTCTGTATATGTTTTGTACATGTGTATAAGTGAAATAGAGGGAGAGACCTTTTATATGGCAGCTGCTGTAAGAAAATGATTTAGTATTGGACACCTTTGTGCTGCTATTGTCCATGAAACCTTTTGTGTTTTAAATAGCATATTGACTTGCTCTGCAGGCTGGACAGGACTATTTTGCCCATGTGTTCTATTTGGGCGTAATATTGAGAACTTGAGAGATGATACCCCTTGGACTACACCATGCATTTGTCATGCTATTTGTGTTGAAGGCGGCATTGCATTGGCAGCTGCAACAGCTGTCTTCCATGGTATTGACCCAAGAACATCATTTCTCATTTGTGAGGGTTTGTTGTTTGCTTGGTGGATGTGTGGCATATATACTGGTCTTGCTCGGCAATCCTTACAGAAAAAGTATCATCTCAAGGTAGTATCTAATCTTTCTTTGCCGCCCATAATGCACAACAAACACCATCCTAGAAGTATAGACTATCCAGGTGAAGTAGTTGCTAAGATAATACTTGCTGCTTTTATAGCTTTCATGTGGTACAATATTTTAATCAAATAAGTATTTGTGTTATCATGAAATATAGTATTAGTAGGGTCCAACTAAACATGATGTTTATGATTCACATATTAGTTTATATCCACAGAAGTAAATTTGAAAAAGCAAAAGTTTGTGTTAAAGCTCAATCTATCATTTGAACCTTTTTAAACTTCTCGTTGGTGAACTCTATTATTTGTAATTTAGTAATGGTTATTCTTTGCATCTTATCAATATTGCACATGCAGCTTAGTCTGTTGTGTCTTTTGGCTTGAAGCAAATCCTCCATAGACTGATGATGGTCTCTATTTAAATTATTAGGAATTCATGCCTGAAAATTTAGTTATTTTCATTTGAATTTTCAATGTATTTATTAGTCTATATACCTGTATGGAATATGAATTTTCCCCAAAAAATCCCAGTCGTTGAAAGTTAAGGCTTCTTCTTTGTTCATTTTCTGACTTGCTGTGTTAACTGCAGAACTCGCCCTGTGACCCGTGCATGGTGCACTGCTGCATGCACTGGTGTGCTTTATGCCAGGAGCATAGAGAGATGAAGGGACGCCTATCAGATGACTTTGTCATGCCAATGACCATCATCAATCCTCCCCCTGTTCAAGAGATGAGCTCAGCCTGTGAAAACCAGGATTCAGCACCACCACCCTCCGGAAGTAGCACCAACTTGGAGATGCAGGCTCTGTAAGATATACCATTATTCGTACAAACGGCACTTTGGTGAAACCCCATTTTCGTCTTGAAGGGATTTTGTTTTCATATTCTTGTCTTGTTTCACAGTAGAATTGGTTACTTTTCACAGAGAACTCTTACAGACTCTCTGCATACTACATCTGATAACTATTTATCAAACTGAGACTTGGAGAGATGCTTTACTTAATTCTCTGATCGGTGAGGCATTTTATTATATATACAGATACTGTGACTTCAATTTTAATTGCCTCATTGTACAGAAGTTGCAATTTTATTAGTATAAATAAGTACTCGTATATAATCCTTGATGATTTGTTGTCAATTGCGAACCACCCCATTGAAGAGAAGAAGAAGATGGAATTGCCTTAGATATCTGTCTACTGTTGCTATTTTAGCTGCTTTTGGGTTACCGAAGTGAGGCTGGTGGATCAAATTGAAATGTGAGCCGTCGTGGTAATGTTAACGGGATTTGTGCTCCTATCTATAATTACATTCAATTGACTTTAAACTTTCAACTCCCTCTCTCGCTCCGTTCTCCTAACCTTAATTTCTACATCAATGGCTAGAGGAATTCCCAACTACGACCGCGATGGCGGCGGCGGTGGAAGGCAATACATAACGCAGTTTTCTCCTTCTCCCTTCTCTTCTTTTCCACTCTTTGACTCTTTCTACCATTCGTCATTGAATCGTGGTACTGTCGGAGACGTGTTTTTCGGCACCGACGATATAAAGGACAGTAGAGAATTAATATTGTACAAGGAAGATGTGCTCGAGAGTTACCGTAGAGAAAAGGCCATGAAATCTTTGAGGCGGCGATCAAAGAAAGGATCGATCTCGAATTTCGGGTGTGTCGAGTTCTTGAAACTTTTATTCTGTTGCTGCATATGTATAATATAGGATGATTATTGATTAATTTCCAGTTACTATTGGATTTAATATTCTATTTTTCATGATAAATTGGAATTTATTTCCAATAATTCTCGACCATGTAGAAAAGAAAACGATAGTTTGTGATAAGGTACAGAGCTCCGTTTTCTTCGCTATGAGATCAAACCAAATCGTTAAAACAAGCAAAAAGGAATCAACTGTGTGTATATATTTCTTTGTTTCAAAGACAAACAAACTTGTGATCTTTGATTTTGATATTTCACGATTTTACGGGGTTTACGTGGACGCCAAAAATTTGCAGTTTTGAACCTGCACGATAGCCGAGTTAGATCCACACATTTTGACTTAGTTCATTATTGGCCAGTCACGTTTTCCTTGCTTTTTATATTATTTATGTTAATATATGATTAGTATATATTTCTTGAGCAGTTTTCATCCCAAAGTCGGTTTAAATAAGATGTGAGCTAGCATTGGATTTTATTATTATGCTACTATATAATATATATATATTTATAACCATTTCATGCATGATGATAGTATTTAAGTTTAATTTCAATCAACATACATATACTATTCCCTCTTATCTATTGTGCATGTTTATATTTGATTTTTTCAATAGATTTCAATTTGACAATTATTTTTTTAAAAAATTATATTGAATTAAAATTAAAAAATATTTTAAAATTTTGAAATTCAAATTTTACAAATCTTTTTTATTTAAGTTTATGATTTTCTTAATTTATTTGATCCAAAAATTAATAAATAACAAATATAATGAGACGTATGAATTCACATGTACAATGATTGATACACCAATAAGGCAATTGAAATTAGCTAATTCTTAACCCAAAAAAATAATAATAAAAACGTGATCAATTTGCTGTCCAATAGTGTCGCATGTGAAGCTACTTTTTCATCAACCAAAGAGTAAAAAGAGATTATTCAAAAAGCTAATAGTAACAATTGTGTCACAGTTTATTTTAATATCAATGCAGTAAATATGATATTCACATTTGATTAAAATGAAAAGAAAAATGGCATTTTCAAGGTTAGTCCAATTATCACAATATAGTAGATACTTTATTTATTTTTTAATGTCTTATTTATATTTTTGTAGTCATAATGTTTAATGAAAATTTAAAACTTTGAAGGTCTTTTACTTAATTCTTACTTGTTGGTGTATTTTAGAAAAAATGAAGGAAGAAAGGGAATTCATACCTTTTAAAGAAGAAAAACTTTGCAAGACCAAAGTTAGGTTGTTTTCTTTTTTATTTTAATACTTGTTAGGCATATAAATTCTACATTTTTTTTCTTTGGGTTTTCCTTGGTACTTTATGCATATAGATTACAAAAAGCAAAGCATATATTTTATTTTAAAACAATTATGAATTCTTAAAATTTTTTTTTTTTTTATGATGAAAATTGATTTACATAGAGCTCACCTAATAATTTGTAAGATAAAAAATGGTGAAATGATCTTAATCTTAGAACTAAACATTAAAATAAATTGAAATCATAAATGAATCAAAATAAGAAAAGAAAATGGCACTAAAGTAAATATTAAAATGCATATTAAAAGTGTCTAACTATTCATAGACAGATATGATTGACATTTCTAAAATTGAGGTTTAAACCTAAGTATGTATATTTAAATTATGATTATCATTCAAAAATTAAAAATATTTTACAATTAAATAATTATAATATTTTGAATCGACCTGCATCCAACTCTAAACAAAATCATAAACAAGCCCAAGTCGAGTCCACGGATGAGTTTCACGCTTTCAGCAAACTAGATCAGCATAACGGTATAACCTCAGAACACTTGGCCAGAAAACTCGCAACCCGGAGCCTTCCACGTGGCTACTGGACGGTTAATTATTGTACTTCAAGCGCCACGACAAAGTTGCAGCCTTTTTTGCCTTGTTATAAACTTGGCTTGCCCTTCATGTCCTCTTGTTAGTAAAGATTCAAAAGCAAAGCGAATCCAAGCCTATACTCTACTCATAAAATATCTTTTCGCCACTAAAATTCCATTTCCATGATTCTTGGCTAAATGGCTCCGGCATCGTTCACTTTTCGGTTCCAGCCATATGTTACTTCCAATACTTTTAGAGTGTATCTTGCAGACTTCATCTCCACATTCTTTTGTGTTTGCAGTTGTTGGTTCCACCATGGCTTCACGTTAGTGCTTTTAATTGCCATTTTCACTTTCCCGAGGTTTTTCCAAAACGTCAAAAAAGTGATTTCCAACTTGTCATTTGCCAGGTAAACTGATGTCGGACTCGGCAATAGATCCGTCTAGCCTGGTGTTAGTCGCCATTGCAAACACTTTTGCGTTGTCCTCCTCAGTGTACATTGCTGCAAACGTCTCCGGTGGACATGTGATCCCGGCCGTCACCTTTGGCTTGGCAATTGGAGGCCATATTAATGTCCCATCGGCTCTGTTTTACTGGGTTTCTCAGATGTTGGCCGCTGTCATGGCTTGCCTTTTGTTGAAGGTCACTACTGTTTCACAGGTATGGAATGACTCTGTTTCAGTTGATGAGGGATTCTTGCAACAATTTAGAAAGAGAAATCGGAAGCAACCCCAAAATTTGGATCTTTGCTAAACGTGAATTTGAATTGGTATCTTCTTCAAATGCTTTAGTTTAGCGATTCGCATCACATACTATTTACTAAAACAAAACTACAAGCTTCTCATATACTTTACAATTTAAAGCAAGATATAAAAGAGTGAAAAGAGAAAGCAACCATGCTTTATGATCAAATTCAGCCATCTTAAGAACTATGGGTATTACTATTGGTTCAGGGCCAGATTTTTCTTTTCTAGCAATACTTCCATTTACTTTTGGTATGTTAATAGTTTCACCTGCATGAACACAAACACTGTTAATAAACTGTCGTATTGCACCTTCACTATGCCTCTAATACTAACACATGCACATGAAACAAATGCTTATAAATGGAGCTAGATGGTATACCAAATAGAAAGAATGTAGAGCAGAAATCTACCTTTATTGTCTGAAGTAGTTGCTAAAGCAATGGACACTAGAGATTCCGAGACTTTGTTCACCTGGTCAGCAGACACATCTTCACCCAAAGGCACAGGATGGTTGGCTATTTTCCATATTACTTCCAGGTATACTTGAGAAATTATTCTCCATTTGCACTGTAGAAGCATTATCTGAAGCCACAAACAGTGCAATCGATCGATTTCCTTCAGACATAGCAGTTGGAGTTTTATGCTCATCATCCATTAAATAAATACTTGGGTCCAAATGTATTCCCTGTTATTGACATAAGAAACAAGGAAAACTCACTTTAAAGTGATAAACACTAAAGTGCACAAGAACATGCCAATGCTTCCGAATCCCAAGCAATGACAAGGTGGAAAAAAATGATACAATACTTAAGCATATTAGAACCTTCTGCAGCCAAAAAAAAAAAAAAAGAAAACAGATACAAAGGCAGTCTGCATATTCCAGAAAGAACAGCAATCTGCAGGGTAACATGGTAGCAGATCCAACCTCACACTTCATCCCATGAACATAATACATGTGTGACATGCATCTGTGCTCTAAGACATATAGCCATGCTCCCATAGAACATCCATTACGGCTAGATATCTTATTTTAACTATTACATTCATCAAATCACAGAAAAGAATAACCGCGAAGATCAACAGAAATCCAAGGATAGGAGCTCAGTTTTGTGCTAAAATTGCTGTAAATACAGCAGAAGCAACAGGTATTGATATTTTCATGAGTACAATCTATTCATTCATGGAAAGAAGGCCATGATCTACTAGATTTCATGCTTATTTTATTGTACACGCTCAGAAATTCATGTGTCACACCCTTTCATGACCAATGCTACAAAAATAAACAACGCCTGAGACTTTACTTCCCGACAATGATATAGCACCTCGTGAAATTATATGATTTTATTTTTGAGTAAAATAACTTATTAAATTAAATGAACCAATGCAAAGAAATAATTAATATGAACCACAAACACTTAAAATATAATGCACTCTATAGGCATGCACATATCACACTGTTAATTCTTGAGCCCATAAGGGTGTAATGACATCACCATGCACTATAAAGATAAAAAAGAGAGAAGAATAAGCAGGAAGGCTCAAGGATGGAGGGTGAGGTTGTTGGCAAAAGAATGTAGTCAGCAATTTAATGTCAAGACATACCTCGATTATAATTGGCTTTGCATCTTTCATTGCCTTTTTTAGATCCCCATTCAACCCTAGAAGCCAAACAACGCAACACAAAATCAATGATGAAGATACCTTTAGAATACAATAACAACTCTAGGTAGATGCAAAACATATGACATGCTATTTGGATGTTACATATCTCTCGGCAATCACCTGCTTTTACATGATTACAAGAAAGACGAAATTTTCATAATAGCTAAAATTTAGAAACTACCTTTACAAACTATCCTGCATTCTCGACAAAATTCAGTAATTAACTCCTCAGAGGAGCTGAAATCCCGCGCCCATGCAGGAGTGGAAGCCAATGGTACACTGAAATAAATAAGAGGAGTAAGCATTGTTGTGCAATATAAAAAAATTAAAAGTAAGGGATGTTCGGCCAATCAGCTGCACAAGATAAATTTTCTATTGAGGCCCATACAGGGAGTGGAAGCCAATGGTGCACTGAAATAAATAAGAGTAAGCATTTTTGTGCAATATAAAAAAATTAAAAGTAAGGGATGTCAGGCCAATCAGCTGCACAAGATGAATTTTCTATTGAGGACAATCTGCTTTTCCTAAGACACATGGAAAGAGAGCAACAAGAAAAACTAAGATGATGATGATGATGATAATAAAAGCTTTAAATCCAATCACTATTCAATATAAGGTAGTGCCTTTTCATCTACCTTTATCAGGAGTAGGAAGTGATTATGGAAATACACTTCTATCTTGTAACCAATAAGTAGCACAGGTGACCTTTCACAACTTTGAAAACCACAACAATCCATTCTGATCCAAAAGCTCAATACCTTCCTACCACATATAAAACAAAACCTAACTGATAACATATGACTAGAACAACAAATGTCAACTGTCCTCCCTTTGTTGAAGCAAGAAAATGCCTTACTGATAACCATCTTTTTTATTTACTTTGGAGCACTGATTTGATCTGATTGGATAATTTCTATATTGGAATAAAAATCTGAACAATACAAGAAGAGAAGAAAGTAAATTGATTCTAGACGTATTCGGTTGATGTGCGTAGCAATTCATAAACCATATCTGTCTGTAACAACAGAAAGCAGAAATTTAAATGCACCAGCAAACATGGAAACAGATTGAACAATGAAAGAAATATG